CAACATCAGGTTCTCATCTGCCCATTTGCTGAGCATGTCCAGGTCTGCCTGGATCACCTGCCTGTCTTCTGGTGTGGATGCTTTGCCCCAAAGTTTGGTGTCATCGGCGAACTTGGCCAGTCCGCTTCTGACTCCAATGTCCACATCATTAATGAAGATGTTGAACAATACGGGTCTGAGGCCAGAGCCTTGGGGGACTACTGTCGACTACTTATGACAAACTCAGAGGACCTAAGCACCTACAGCTGATTTAGCTCAGCAGCTCTCAACCTTCTTAGTATCAAGGCACCCTTTCATAGATACTGGCACCCCTCGTACAATGTCAGATCTTAGTTTTTCACTCATTTTCTGACTACAGAGAAATAATAGAGCAATTCTGCTGTTGCAAAGAACTCACAAAGACCACAACAAGTCAGGATGTTTTTGGATTCCTTGTTTGCAACCTCTGGGTTTCTCTTGTGAATCATGTTTCCATGCCTAACAGTGCTAACATTGTGCGGCAGCCTTGAAAGGATATCAAGACACCCTGGTTGCGAATCACTGATTCAGCTTCTTGGACACTTAAATATTTCAAGCAGGGTGAGGCCTTTTAATGACCCAGGATTAATCAACTTACAGGGAAAAAAAAATCTCAGAAATTCAGCTCAAGTGTAAATGGTGAAATATGACTGAAGTCAAATGAGATGCTTTCCTTAAAGAATCATAGAAAATGAGGGTTGGGAGGGACCTCAGGAGGTCATCTAGTCCAACGCCCTGCTCAAAGCAGGACCGTCCCCAAGTAGATCATCCCAACTAAGGCTTTGTCTTTGGCCTTAAAAACTTATATACACCTTTCTGGGTCCCAGTGCTTTACCACCCTCTTGGTGAGAGTTTTTCCTAATATCTAGACTGCCCTTGCTGCAACTTGAGACCATTGCTCTTTGTTCTGTCACACATCAGTTGTGTATTTGGCCTGAAAGAATATGGTTGCAGGTCTGGTTTCCTTTATTGCTCAAACACAGAAAAGCAGGTGTCAAAACACACACATGTGGAGAACATATTGCTAAGAACTAATGCTCCCCTGAACTAAGGGTACTACCAGAGAGGGCCAAAGGGATGAGGTAAACAGATCAGTCAGGCATATGGACCCATTTTTTTGAATGGTGGTAGCAACAAGAGGATGAAGAATTTGCAGCTAGTGCATGGGCACAGGCTTGTTCTTCCCTCAGGATCCCGGGTGCAGGGAGAGATGCTGCTCTGAGCAACCAGGCATCATCCCTTGGCATGTCTGGGCACCGAGCTCCCCGCCCTGGGCTGAGTCTCACAGTGGGTGCTGGAGTCCCCTTCCAGCTGGCGGCGGCTCACCTGAAAGCTTCTCCTGATCCGCCTTGATCTCCAAGTCCAGCTGCTTCAAGGCGCCGGTGAAGCCATGGAACAGCAGGTACTCGTGCACCAGCTCGTCCATGTGCTCGGCCACTGCCCCCATGGGGCCTGGGCAGGTGGGACTGGACCAGGGGGAGCAGAGATTGGTGCGGGCAGCAGTGATCGGCCCACAGCTGCATACAGACTCCCCCACCACCAGCCCCACCATTGCCCAGACTCTCTCTGCCTGGATGTATTAAGAAGGGGGTAGTTTGATAGGACGAGTGTTTGCATTCCTGATTCTCAGGACAGGCTGAGGGAACTGGCCTTATTTAGTCTGCAGAAGAGAAGACCGAGGGGGGGATTGAATAGCAGCATTGGTGACGTGTAGGGGGTGCAAGCGGGTGCATGCGCACCCCGAGCGTGGTGGTGCACCCCCTGCAAAAAGGTGCCGCTGACACTGCTGGTGGCGCCTGCAGGTGGTCGCCACTCACCCCCCTTCCCCTCCACGATTGCTGCTAGCTGCTGGTGTCTGTGGGTGGTTGCCAACCACTGGTCAGTGCTGCCCCCCGCCCCTCTGCTTACAGTGCCATGGCCACCAGCTGCCTGCTGGAGCTCCCTGCTTGCCGCTGCCCGTAGGAGCTTGCCGTGCCCCCCCAGCCTCCAGGGGCACGTGGCGTTGGTGAATAGCAGCCTTCAACTACATGAAGCGGGGTTCGAAAGAGAATGGAGCTGGACTGTTCTCAGTGGTGACAGATGACAAAACAAGGGTCCACGGTCTCAAGTTGCAGCAAGGGAGCTTTAGGTTAGATATTAGGAAATACTTGTTGCTAGGAGGGAGGTGAAGCACTGGAACAGGCTACCCAGAGAGCTGGTGGAAGCCCTATCCTTGGAGGTTTTCAAGACCTGGCTGGACAAAGCCCTGACTGGGATGATGTAGTTGGGGCTGGTCTTGCTTTGAGCAGAGGGTCGGACTCCTGACCTCCTGCGGGCCCTTCCTACCCTCAATTTACGATTCTATCATCAGCGAGAACATTTTGTTTAACCGTGAATCCACAGCAAATCCCCTCCGGGGAGCGCTGAAGATCCCAGCACGCCAAGACAAGCCGCTGCCCCTTTCCACGCCCCGCCCGGCATCGATGACCCCCCTCACCCAGGGCGAGGAGGAGATGCCCCCTCCTGCCAGCTGCCTACCGCCCTTCCCACTGCGCCGAAAAGCCGTCGCCTTGCACTTCCCCCAGCTCCCGCCCCTTGCCCGACGCCTTCCAGGGCGAGACCTCCGCGTCGTGCCCGGGGGCGGGGCGCCGGCGGTCAGGCGGATACGGGGCGGGGCGGATCGCCGCTGCCCGGGTCCCATGGCGGGGGCCGTCGAGCGCACGGACGAGCTGGTGCGCGAGTACCTGCTGTTCCGCGGCTTCACCGGCGCCCTCAAGCAGCTGGACGCGGAGATCAAGGCGGATCGGGAGAAGGGCTTCCGGGTGAGCCGCCGCCGGTCGGGAGGGGACCCCAGCGCCCGCCCTGGGATGCAGCCCAGGGCCCGCCGGGCTGGTGGCGCCTGGGGTGATGCCTGGCCGCTCCGTGCGGCATCTCTCCCCGCAGCCGGGAGCCGCTGACAGCAGTAGGAGAGTGGCTGCCGGGAGGGGAGGGCGTCCCTTGCTTTACCTGGGGCGGGAGGGAGGTTGAGCTTAGATGATGGTTTGGAGAGGGATGATCCTGCCCCAGGCAGCAGGGGGTTGGACTAGGTCAGTGTTTCTCAACCCGCGGGTCACGAGGATCTATGAAAGGGTCATGAACAGACTTCAAAAATAATGGATTCTCCTTTCCAGGGAAAAAAAAAACGTGGGGAACGGGGGCTTTTCCCTGTGCAGGATGGCAGAGTTGCAGCCTGTGAGGGGCTGCTTCCCTTCCCCCCTCCTACCCTACACACCCATCCCCTGCCCCATACACCCCGGGGGGTAGGAGGCAGCAGGTCGGGAGTGAGGGGCGCTGGGTTGGGACTGGCCATCGATATTTACAAATGGGTCCTGGTCCAAAAGAGATTGAGAAGCACTATATTAGATGACCTCTGGAGGTCTCTTCCAGCCCTACTTCTCTGTGGCTCTGTGCCATCCCCGCTAATCAGGTCCCTAATGGGCTTCCTGGAGTCTTCAGCTTTTCTCTGGCCCTTGATAGAAGAGGGCAGGCTTTTTAGCCTGCTTCTGGCTTGGGGGAAATGCTTCCTCAGCCAGCACGTGGCTGCAGTGGGCCTTGCTTGAAAGCATGTGAGCCTGACTTTTCCCCTGCCAGTGTTGCTATGTGTCTGTCCTTGCAGAGCACTTTGCTTCCTTGAGGCTTTACAAGCTAAACTCCAGAGGTAGTAAAGCT